TTAAATTGTTAGTACATAATTTCTTGATATATTTTGTAAAAATATAAAATTGATTTTTTGTGTTTGTATTAAATATTTTAAAGTTACTATATGATTTTGTTAGAATATTTAAATAATTCTTAAATTTTTTAATCTAAACTTTCTTTAGATAGATATAGATAAAAAATTAGGGGAGAGGATGAATAGGAATTATAGATAATTTGGGAAACCCTTTACTAAATTAGAGATAACTTTGGAGATAAATAGGAATTTGAGATAATTTTGGAGAAAGTAGGGGATAGTGGGGGAAGTAGCTTAGGATAAATCTTAGGAGAAGAGATTATTCAGGTTATTGGGAAAGTGCATCTCGTTGGTTGTCTTGAAAATGACATGGAATAAAAAAAATAAAAAATTCAAAAAAGGAGAAAATTTCTTGACTGCATATACATCCTCTTGCTTTGTTATTAGTTTGTTTTGTATTCATTATTATCATCTTATCGAAAAGCATTGTAGGTTGGAATGGCACGAGGGAAGTCTACCCAGATCTAACAGGTACTTGGAATATTGGTTGTAAAGGTTTGATTGACAAATGAGAAGTCTTTTGTAGTTAGTCAATCTCCCAAGAGGTTACCTGAGGAGAGGATGTAAGCTAGGGTGTTGGCCTAACATATATGTAAAGATTTGATTGCATTACTATCTACATTTGCATAACACACACACACAACTTTCACTTCATTGTTCTTGCAGTTATCATTCTATAAGGTTTTAGAAAGGGGAAAAGTTTCTATATATAACCTAATTCACCCTTAGGCTATCTAGATAATAGTTTGATTTTTTGAGCTTTGAAAAGCCTGGAAGACATTGCAAAACGATTTTCCAAATGCAACCTAAGTCTTGAGCTTGAACTTCACAAGCCACTTAGAATTCCATTGATAGACTATCGGTTAACTCTATGGTGCTCCTCTAATGCTCAAAGTCAACCTACTAACTAGATTGGCATCATTGCTAACAAAGATTAAGAGTTGGATAAAGAGAGATAATACGGATTACAACATGATATATTGATTAAAGAGAGATAATAAGGATTATTCTTGAAGAGATGTGTAGATGTATGCAAGGCTCATGCAACATCCATAAGGTCGTAAGTTGGCTCTAATCCTTTGCAATTTATTAGCAGCCCCCTCTCATTGTAAGGCTTTGGACATGCATGTTGACTTTGGATGTTAACAAGGTGAAATGAGAGGAGGAGAGTGGCATAGCTGGTGTTTGGTAAATCCGAACTCGAAAGCCTGAAAAGCAAAAAAAAAGTCCAAAAAAGCTCTAAACATTTTGAAGAAAATTTGCTTTTCTGTTTTTGCAAATATTTGAATGTAATGGAGTTGTTTGGCAATATGAATGTTTTAACATTTGAAAATGTACATTTTACAAATTTATCCCTCAAATTGTTACTTAAATTATTAAATAATAATGACTAAAATTATTAAAATTTTATAATATTATAAAAATTATAAAATAAGAAAAATATTAAATATTAAGAAATAATAAAATTAGAAAATTAAAAATAATAAATAAGATTAACAATAGGGCTTTCTGTAAGATAAATGACCAAATTTATTGAATTGACAAATTTGGTTATGTTTGTAAAAAAATGACCAAACTAGTGATTGGTACAAAAATCAATATTTTTTTTGACAAAATAATCCCTCTACTAAAAATGAGAAAAAAATTACATTTTTTTTCTGAAACCAATCTTCCGTGTTGTTCCTCTAATCCAAGGATTTGGTGCTTATAGGCCTTGTACCGTTCCAATGGTGAAGTGTTGTTGAGAACACCTTGTCTCTCTAGCCTTTCTTGTGTACTTTAATTATGACTTTCCCGGGTGAAATCACCTTAAATTCGTCAAAGTGTTGCCAGAAGTTAGAAAAAGTCATGTTGCTTGAAGATTCATACGTTTGAAAGTTTGAAAAGAGAAAAAAGGTTTAGGTTCTAACACAGGGAAATTTAATCAAAAACATTGGGGATTTTTCCTCACTCACCGCCACTGAACCACGATGGCAAGTACTCCACAGTTCTGCCCCATTTCTCTCTCTCTCAAGACACCTTCCTTCATTTTGTTGTCCCCCTGTGCAAGACACCTTTCTCCCCTGTTCTAGATTCTATTGCAGAAATAGAGCCATCATCCCTTGTTTGAGACGTTGATGCTTCATCTAGGTCGCGACCCTATGCACGAATCAGACTGTTAGTTTTGATCAAAGAATCAAACCGAAGATGTTGAATGTTTTGGGTTTTCCAACTTTACTAAAGGGCATCTGTGGGAAACAAATGTCATCCGCTATCCCCTGTTCTACATCCTAAGTCCCTCGTTCGAGATGTTGATGCTTCATCCAGGTTGCAACCTTTTGTAATAACCAAACCTTTAGTTTTGATCAAAGAATCAAACTGAAAATGTTGAATATTTTTGCGTTTTCTAACTTTAGAGAAGGGCATCGGTGGGAAATAAATGTCATCTGCTACCTCTGAACATGCTTGGAGGTAGGTAGCTTGACCTATGAACTTTTTGGAGGAGTTTTCGGCATTTGAAGGATATGTTTGGAGGTTAAACCAAATGACCACCAACCACTGAAAAAGCAATAATTTTAGCGTCCGAAAGTCTGTTCAGCAATACCAAACACCACCTTAGTAAGTGATGGGGCACTCCATGACCAAATTGTATATGAAACAAAAAATTGATATACAATAGCTGTTAATTTCAACATTCCTTAAGTGGACAAGGTGAATTTTTGTTGTCACAATGTAAATCTATAACTCCCCAAGAGACAAATCATGTAGCAAGGCCTCGTTTACAATAGATAGTTATTGATGAATGTAAATACATGAAGCAATAAGAGAATATGCGTTATTTCTCATTAATTGAAATTAGAAATTACTAAATTATCAAAAAAATCCAAGCTTGAAATGGTAATTGGAAATTCAATGACTAAAACAATAAAAAAGAAAACATTCTTCAATAAAATTTAATGAGATTACAAGCAATCAAGCACAATTTATAGTTGCTACATTAATTCTTCATAACATCAACCCACAACCTTTCTATTACTAACCAAAATGTGATTAGAATTAGAAAAGAAGGCCAATTCCTCATTTTCTTTATGAACCCAAATGTGATTAAAATCACGAAGGCGGAAACTAAAACACTAAAACAATTCTACAAAAGTGGCAACCTAGACACATCAATCAAATCCAGACCCCAAAGAAACCACCATCTTGAAATCGAAACAAAGAAATAAAGAAAATTCTAATACCCACCTCGCATGCGCTTATGCAAAGTGAATGGCAGGAAAACTTACTCAAAAAAAGTGAAAGAATGAGAGGAAAGATGTGGCTATCTTAGATGAAAATTGGAGCTTTGGCTTCACCGAGATGGGGAATGAAAGCTTGGAGTGTAAACAATGGCATTGGAGGAGGAAGGCGGCAACAAAGAGGTGGGTTTGGTTACAGAAGCAGTTACCATTGTTGCTAAAGTTGTTGCAAGAGAAGACGCGAATTCTGTTATGATAGTACGGAATATTCAATTTCTGGACAGAGAGGGAGAGGGGGTTTCAATAAGGACCCACAACCATCTCGTCAAGGGTTATGCTAACTAGAGGGTGCTCACAGTTCAGTTAATCGAATTGTGGGGGTGATTTTCTGGTGGAACCAAACTGTTTGATTTTTCAATTTAACCAAACCGAAACTGAACTGATGCAATCGATTAACTGGTCAACCGGTTAACTGGTTTTTCGGTTTTTTATGCCTTCAATATTAGAAAAGGGGAAAAACCTTCCCTGCTGATGGTCTAGAGAGAGTGAACATTGAACAGAGCTGAGATTGAGAGTGAGAGAGATGAGAGAGAGATTGAGACTGAGACTGAGAGTGAGAGTGACTAAGACTAAGAGGGAAGAGACCGAGTGTCAGTGAGTCTAAGTGTTAAGTGAGAGAGAGAGACTGAGAGATGAGAGGTTGAGATTTGAGAGGAGACGCCAGATGCCGGTTTGAGAGAGAGTAAATGATGAATCTGAGAGGAGACACCAGACGTCGGTTGGAGGCTCGCCCGTTAGTAGGTTTGGCTCGTTAGGGAAGAAGAAGAAGAGTATGAGAGAGAGAGAACATAGAACAGAGAGTGAGGTGAGACAGACACAATTGGTCGGAGTGTCGGACATCAGTGACTCAACCGTCGGAGGCCGTCGGTGATTCAGTCAAAGGGTGGAGGGTCGGAGACCATCGGTCCGTTGGGGAAGAAGAGAACTGACTATTGAGAGTCTGAGAGAGTAAGAGTCTGATTTGAAGAGAAAGATTGTAAGAGAAAAGACTGAGAGAGTGAGAGAAGGTTTAGTTTAGATTTCTAATTCGAGAGAAGAAAGGCTTGAAAATTTTTGATTTTCGAGAGTAAGAGACTGTAGTCTTCAGTCTAACAGTCTGGCAGAGGCAGACTGCCGAACTTTCAATTTTCAGATTGAAACTTTCAAAGAGAAAGTTTGAAAGTAGATTGCTAAAATTGTTTATTCGATTTAAAAAACAATATAATATTATATAAATATATATTACTATATATATCGGTCGGTTCGATTAATGACCATTTTTTTAAATAGTTAAGCAAAACTGAACTGAAACTATCAGTTTTTTAAGAACATCAAACCGAAACTGAACTGACCGGTTTGGTTAACTGATTTTTTGGTTCAGTTTCGGTTGATTTTTTCGGTCAATTCAATTTTTCGGTTTTTTTGCTCACCCCTAATGCTGACAAAGGCTTAACCTTTTAAAACAGTATTCACCATAAGGAGTTGCACCTTTCGGATTGGAGTGGGCTACCTTCGACTAAAGCCCATCTATTAATATTCGAGGCAAGCCCATGTGATGCTCCGATCCCGGTCCATGTGCACATGTGGGACCGTATGCAAAAATTAAGTAAAAGATAGGGACAGAACCGGAAAAGCCTCTGAGTTTAAATAACAAGAAGCGCTAAAACAAATAGGGCCGTTCATTTCAAACCTGTCTTGGACAGTTCCGCGCAACTCCAACGGTAGAGGGGGACCGGAGGAGCTTTCAGTTGCCGTTTCTGCCTCATCGACGGTATCACTCCCTCCGCAAGAAACTTCACCTCTACTTCTCCTGATGGATCAACGCTTAGATTTCCTGCGCCGAATCTTGTCCACTGATGTTAATTGATCCCTGCTTATTTAAACCCTGGCATCATTTGTTTCATCTTCCAACCGGAGATGCCGTTGAGATCCGGCCATGGATGGGGAGGCTAATCTTCCGGCCTTACCTTCGACCGACAGGAACCTCCACTGTCCGACCCTGGCCGACTCTCGCCGCTCTCGCCCCTTTACTTCCTCCTCTTCTTCTTCCTCCTCCTCCTCCTCCTCCTCCTCCTCCTCCTCTTCCTCCTCTTCATCTTCTTCTTCACCCGCCAATTTATTTCGAGATCTTCATGCTGTGTTCAAGCGTCACAGGCCTCTTGGTAAATCTCTCTGCAGACTTCTTAGTTCCTCTAATATTGAATTGAAAGCTTAGTATCTATTTTCCCTTCTCACGAGTGTTGTAGTCTGAAGTTTAGGGTTTCTTTGGTCATATGCTTTGAGAAATTTCCAGGTACAGCACAGTCTAGTCTTTTCCAACCCAGGCGCTTGGTTCCCAAAAGAGAGCCATCAAAAAGCTCAGTTTGTGAATCGGGTATCACAGTAGACACGGAGAACTCGTTAGACGTGGTTTCGTCAAGACAGGGCAATGCTGCGGTTGACTTGATTGATCAGAGGGAGAGTGTTTCTGCAGTTGTTAGGGAAGTTCTTGACGATTCCTCAATTACCCCACCTTCCGCTACAGCGACTATGACGGAGACTCAGGATGAGAATTTGAACCCATTTGGTTTGCAGAGAGGTGAAACCAAGCCTGACGTTAATCGGAGCAGCAGTGGTGTAGTCCCTTCATCCCGTGAGCTATCTCAAAATCCCCCTGCGCTTGAAGGTCAGAAAAAGGTTCAGTTTTCTTTGAGCAGCAATTGTGACTCCCAGAGTGAGTAAACACATTTTTGATATCTGACAAATTTGATTCGCTTGTTATAATTACTACAAATTAATCATCTTGGGCGCGCTACATATTGCAGCTTTTTTTTTCCTATTCTTTTGTTTGTGCAGGGGCCTGTGAGGGAATGGCCACTAGTACGGAAAACATGTCGTCTCATTTGAGTTCTCTTGCATTGACAGAGATGGAATGGGATGCTAACAATCGGCTAGAGCTGTCAACGGGAAATGATCACGATTTGAAGCAACGTCAGTTTCAGCACATAGAAAATTCGGACGTGGGGCTGAAGTCAGATGGTGGAATCGCCTCTTTGTTGGCGAAAAGAAGCACGCTACTGCAGGATCAGCAGCACCTATTCATGGCGTTTCCTGGGAAGGAAACAAGTCATCCCATGACTCAATCATCGGTTGTGGGTTCATCCTGTGCTACTACAACATCAGTCCATTCAGCATCTGCATCTATGCTGAATTCAACAACCTACAGCTCTCGTTCTTGTCGAGATAGCAGTTCTCATATGGAAATAGAACCTCTGGAAGAGTTAAATGTGAATCCTCAACCTGTTACTCGAGGAGATTCCGTGCAGCCACCATCTTCTATGCTTCAGTGCAGTAGTAGTATGATAGCAGATCAGGCAGCTGTTTCAACCCAAGCGACTGCCTCTGCATTTGGGACCACAGGAGTTACTGATCAGGGACTGTCAAAGGGGCAGCAAGCCTGTTATTTGAAGCAACGTGAAGGGTTAGCTGATGGAATTGCTGACCATGCAAAAGCACCTTCCCATATGGATGATAAGATAGCTAAAGGAAAGTATTCAGATCAGGTTTCTGATATACAATCACAGGATCCATCAACCAAAAACTCATCTTCAAATATGAAACTGGAGCCCTCTAAATTAGAAAAACCAGAGAAGGCTGTAAGTGGTAAGGGGACATCTGGCGCTCGGAAAAAGAATTATGATCCTGACTTATTCTTCAAAGTTAATGGGAATCTCTATCAGAAGCTTGGAAAGATTGGGAGTGGAGGAAGCAGTGAGGTTTACAAGGTCATCTCATCCAATTGTACAATCTATGCCCTTAAAAGGATCAAGCTTAAAGGTCGTGATTATTCTACTGCATATGGATTTTGTCAGGAGATTCAATATCTAGAGAAGCTAAAGGGAAAGAACAACATCATACAACTTATCGACTATGAGGTACAAAACTTCTAATCATACACTATGCCTCTCAATTGTACAGATGTCTTTACATTTACTCATGAGTCATGACGATTACATTCTTGACATATTTTAATTCATATATATGCTATTTGACCAATTAATCAGGATAAAAATGTTAACTTTGTATAACCTTAACTATATTCTCAAGTTGGAAAGTACTCAATTTGACTGAAGTAGCAGATTATATTTATACTTGGAATAAAACTGAGGCTAGGGAAATATAATAATTAAGTTTCAGGTTAATGGACCAATCATGAATAACAGTTATACATTAGACAAGATTTTGCTGCTGAGTCCCTTCCAGCTTGTCATCTAGCTAATGGGCCAATAGGAAATTGCTTTTGACTCTTTATTTCCTTCTTTTCCCCATATGAAATTATGAATAAATAAAGAACACGATTCTGGTCATATGCATGATACTATAGTTATGAACATAATAACTATTGTGGTCATATAGGTAAGAATTAAGATAGTAATATATGGAGTTTTTGTACTTTCAGGATGGTTTCCCTCTTTTTTAGCCTAATAATATAATCTATACCTACATATATACAACTTTTATAGAAAAAGCCACAAATTTACAACATTTTTGGGTAGTTGCTTATTAGAGAAGGTATGCTCATGATGCCGAGGATTCATTTTTGTGGCTTAAATCAAGTTTCTCTTTCTCCCACTGGGTCCAAATCAACACTAAATCTATGTAGTTTCTTTTTTATTGTTAACTGATGAATTGCATTAAATGATAGAAGGGAAACTACCTAGCCATTATTCTCTCAAGAAACCAAAGCAAGAGCATCAAAAAGCTCCAATCAGGTAGAGAATTCCACATATGGTACACAATAGATTCAAGATAAGATGAATTCCATATTTCCATCACAAGAATTTAACCTGGCAAATTGTAAGCATAATACGAATGATTCCTCTCACCCCTTCACCCTTCAGCAAGATTTATCTGCCACTAAGATTGTAGATCTTGGAACCAACAGAATGAGGTGTTCAGCCTGGATGCCAAGTACTGTGCTTCTCTTAAGGGGATGAGTGAATTTCCATGACTCTGCTGATATATTTCTCATCCAATCATTGTTAACTTGAGAATCTCCCACCATAATAATTCTCTCAAAGCATAGCTACAACTACAATAATATTTTTTGGTGTTGGAGGAGAAAGAAGCTCTGCCCTCATAGAATCTTCCTTTTCAACTGGTCCCAAATAGATTTCTTAATTAAATGCACCAACAAGCACTTAAGTTCTAAAAATTGCTAAAGAATACTTTCACTCCTTCCCCTTTTGTCATAATGTTCATTCATTTGCTCCCTAATCTTTTTTTCCCCTTCCAGTTTGTTACTCTGTTAAGAGAGCATGGGCATGGTCTTCTCCCCATAAGAAAAATAGACTCATTATATTTACCTATCCTCAAGTGGTTATGACTTCAGGTTCACTACTCAAAAATGAAAGGCTTCAATAATATCATCTAATAACTCTTCTTCACTAATCAAAGTACTCAACACTCTAAATGTAGATTCATTATCATTCACCCAATTTGCCTCATTTCCTGTTCATGGTGGTTATAATCAATGGCAGGCTGCTGGGTCTGATGACACAGGACCAATAAGCAGTGTTGCATGGACATGGATATGGGAATCAGAACTCAACATGTGCCCAGGAATCTGACTTGGCAAGACAAATAAACAAGGACTCTTGGACACGTCTATAAAAACACAAACCCGAGCAGTAGCTTGAGAAATTTGGATTGTGTCCCATCCAATCTGTTTCTCATGGTACATGACTTTCCTTATAACTTCTACAAGGTGGCTAAACCTGCCTCCTTTGCCATGAAACTGCTACATTTGGATTGTGGCCCATCCCATCTGTGTCCATGAAACTGCTACTACATTTCATAATTTGCCTCCTTTGCCTCTTCTACCTTCACCATTAGATCAGATTGAGACTTCCAGTATCACTAGACAATCACGTGATGTATCTAGACATTAGGAGATCACAAATTGGACACTAATGAGCTGTCAACCTTGTCTTAAACAATTTCCAATTTGGTTTCAAAAGATTTCAGAATCTTTTTTGGGTGTTCCATAAGCCTCAAAATATAAGATTGTCCATGCACTTGCAGTTAGTTGGACATCCTACATCACCCATCATACACCTTACATTTGTATAGAATGTTTAGATGTAGAAATTATCCTTAAAGTAAATATCTAATCTGTGAAGTTTGTTGGATAAGGCAGCATTTGGAATGATTGAATCTGAACTCTTATAGAAAACTTGGTTGTTGGATCTAAAACCATATGAAAAGCATCAAGAGTGGAAATTGGAAAAAAGTCTTTTTCTTTTTTTCGGAGGTGATGCCTAGGCAAGTGCCAAAGAGATGATAGGTGATGGATTTTTTTTTTGGGTGCCTTGAGCCTTGCCTTGGTGTTTCTGTATATGTCTTCTGATTTTAGGTGTGGTGCAGCTGAACCATGTCATATTGTATCAATAAGGCTAAAATGGTGTAGAAATGTTTCATAAAGGACCAATTTTCAATTTACAGAGCTGTAAAATGAATTTACGATAAACAGTGCCAGTTGTGGGATGTAGTGCGTTCATTATTGTTAGGGCTTCAACTTGTACTCTTCATCATGTATTGTATGCTTCAGAAGAGGCCTTTTCTTCTTTTCTCAGGTTCTATGAGAAAAAAAATGTAATCTTTCTCTATGGCAGATCAAGGGATTTTCTCCTTAATTTGACTAGAACAAGGGATTTGCCCTCTCAGTTTGTCCTCTTTTTCCGCAATTTACACAACTGTATGCTTCTTTAAACTGCATCTATAGATGGATTCCTAGAGAACTAAACTAAACTGCAGATTCATTATCTACATCTGATTCAGGCAGAGAATGTTTGTATAGTGCAAATATCTTACTAGTTTCTTGATAGGGCTATTGATTTTTGTAGTTTTTCCCTATTTCCTTGTAGTCTTGTACGCCATCTGATGTATATCCCTTCCCCTCTTTTGAATGAAAGTTACCTTTTTTTTCCTCAGAAAACCTCACATAAATTCTCTCCTCTATGTGTCTCTATCATGTTTGATATTTTGACATAATAGAGGCTTCATCCCTTCATCTATTTGTTATTTTCCCATTCTTGATTTTCACAAACACACGAAAGTTACCGTCTATTCTCTTAATCTGTCTAATGAAAGTTACCGTTTCTGATCAAAAAAGAAAAAAAAAATTCACAAACACACGAAAAGGTTTGCCTCAGCAATGCCCAGGTGGGCACTTGGCCTTGACTTAGCACCTTGATAACTATGGAAACAAGAGTTAAGTGAATTAAAGTATGATAAGTGGAATGCAAGATAGTGATCCATGGATTTTTAATATATTGAATGACACAAATGACTGTGTGACTACCTTTGAAACCAACACTATATTTTTGGTAATATTGTGTTCAATTTCTTAAACACCCTCTCATTAGTAATAATGACCCTGATTCAAATGTATTACCCATTTAAGTTTAGCATTTTGAAAGCTTGATTAATATCTTCCTGTATATTTTCTTATTAGTTTGTCTCTCATACCCCTTGTTTCTTCTTAGGTGACAGACAAAGCTTTATTGGAGGAAGTCATGAGTGGTTCAATGGAAACAAAAGATGGAAGAATCAGGGATGATGGATATATATACATGGTGCTTGAATATGGAGAAATTGATTTGGCTCATATGTTGTCACAGAAATGGAAAGAAATGGATGAGTCCAATTGGTCTATAGATGAGAACTGGCTCCGTTTCTATTGGCAGGTTGGCTTTCAAAACCTTCCCTTAATCCAGTCCCTTTAGAATTGTCATACCTCTGTATTCTGGCAGCCCACCAAATACTTTAATTAAAATTTAGCCTAAGGAATTATTGGTAATGGTTTCTGGGTATCAATTATGATAGGTAACTGTCATGGCCTTTCCACTTTGTTTGTGTATAAAAAGCATTAAAGGATTATTGGGAATGGATTCTAGACGTCAATTACTGGAAATGGATTCTGGGTGTCAATTATGATAGATAACTGTGGCATTTAAAAATTATCATCAAAAGAAAAAAAAAACTATGGCATTAAAAGCTAGTTAATTGAGCTAGACCTAGAGTACTTCACTTGCAAAAACTATGCTATCCATATACCAGGGTTTAAAAATGTCGGTGTTGGTGGAAACATCGGTCATCCAAATATAAGAAACATGTTGAAATGTCAGAAATATTGTAAAAAGTATAGACATGTTGGAAACATTTTAAAATATGCAAAATATAAAGTGATATTTTATGAAATGGTAAAAGAAGCATAGTCACGCCTTTTTAAATTATTATCTTGTTCCAAATCATTAAACAAAGCTAAGAAACTAAGGTTATAGACAAAAGAATACGTTTTGAAGTTGCCTTGTAAACCTTAAGATTCAGAGCTTCATGATAGAATGAGTCAAAGCAAAATTTGAACTCAGAGAAAATGTAAATGGTTGTAATAGATCAATCAAATAATCTATTAGACAGACAAACTAACATTTAACTTTGTGTTTGAAATGAAGATTGAGCTAGCTCAAAGTGGTAATATGTAAGTTAGGTGAGCAATGACATTATTGCTAAACATATCTACAATATTATCACCAACTTATGTTACAATACTATCTCTTGTACTCTACATAGTGTTGGTAGTGTTCACTGGGGAATATGTTGATTCCAGTAAAATTTTGTGACCTATGGAAATAGAAATATGTTGTGGAAATATTAGGGAAATTAAGGACAATTTAACCATGCCATATACCTTGTTGTCTTAGCTGTGGTTAATATAGAGAATATCTTGGCTCTATTTTAAGGGGCCATTGCTTGGTGTAGTGGTTATATCTTGGGCTGACAAGTGGGTTTGAGTCTGAGGGGAACCACTTTGTGCAGAAAAATGCCAAAGATTAGGTCTTATCCAGTCTAATCCTCCCAAGGCCCCAGATATCTGGGGCCAAAATTAGGTAATGACCTTTTCTTTTCTTGGCTCTATATCAGATTTATGCCGCTATTACTTGTCACCTATTCTATGTTTCAAGAATTAAAAGGCCATTACCCAATCTGGGGTCTTGGGAGGGGTAGACTGGGTATGGTCCTTACGGTGTTTTTTGCACTAAATGGCCATCCTCAGACTCGACCCTATCTATCTTTCAAGAATTGATATCCACATTTGGCTGTGTCACAACTAAGGGAATGGCTATGCCAAGAACCAGCTAATTAGATATTTTAACAATCTGATTTGGTCATGTTATTTGCATATGTATAGCCGCCGTCTTTTAGTTTAAGAAGAAACATTTCTCCATTCAGTTAGATGCAGTAAAATTGGATGATTATAACTTATAACCTCCTGTTCATCTTAATTTTTTTGGTCCTCACTGATATGCTAGTAGAAACTATTTGATGGTGGATCTCTATTAATACTGTTAATATTTGGTGTACTATGGGCTGCAGGGGTACCGTGGCCTTTTTGTTTGTTCCCAAATTTCAACAGCCTTCTCAGCTCGCATAAAGTTTCTTCTCACTTGTGGGAGCATAGATACACCATGGCATCACCATACTATTTTCTTGGTCCCATTTCTCATGCTTAGCACTCCCGGATTTTGGTTCTTTAACTCTTCCATTGATATACCCAATCTTTCCCCTTGCAGTAATGTAGAGTTTAATTCCTCTCGACCACTCTAGATAATTGAGGTCATCTAGAGGGATAACAGCCATGGGGAAGGTCATGTCCACACTCTCACTTAGTCCACCATGGTTAGAAGACGTACCTGAGGTAGCTGTGTCCTCGGAGGACATGGTGTACCAACCTAAGAGTCACTTTCCGGCTGCAAACCTGAGGTCTCGGCCACATTATGGTATAGGGGACAGTATTGTATTAGCTAACCAGAAAACAGTCCACACACCTGACAAGACAAGACAGCACTACTGGGGGCCAGAACCATAGAGCTACAGTGCTAGGTTCACCAGATCCAAAACGCAGACCAAAAAGCAAGCTGAATAGACCCTACAATCAGAATCATTCACTTAAAAGGGCCACACAATTACCACAGTTGTGAAACAGAAATTACTACTGCTGTTACAGCCACCGCCGACCATACTTGATCAAAAAACACCATCCATCTGGGTACAAAAAGGATCACATGATCCATACAGGTGTTAAACACCACCAAAAAATTTCACACATTCAGTCACCACAAAGCAAACAACTCTATCTTGGCACATGATCAAGAAATAAAAAGAGAAGGAAGACTGAGACTACTTCCAGATTGGTCAATGGGATTTATGTGAGATCCACGAAAAATTTATTTTCCCTGGGTATCACTTACCTGGATGGGACAAAATTGCCCCTTTTAATAATGTATTTTTATGGCTAAAACGGTCCTTGTCTTATTTACTTGGGAAATAAATGAACATGGGTAAATGCACTTACCCAGGTAAGTGTTTCCTGGGGGAAATATTTACCCAGGCAAGTGCATTTACTTGGGTAAGTAACTACCCAAAAAGTAAATGGGGCCTTAGATCGATCTGGAAATCAGCAAGGAAGGGGGGGGGGGAGGTTTGATCTGTCTTAAGGCCCGCAAAACCTGCTCTGGTACCATGTTTTCTTGATAGAAATAAAGAAAAAGGAACAGAAATAGAAGAGGGAAGAGTGAAAGAGAAGAGAAGAGAGGAAGAGAGAAACTGATATTGGAGAGGCAAAATCTTAGGCTGGCGGTGCCAGCTTTCTGTTATATAGTAGGGTGACATGATAAAACAATAACAATATGTAAAAAGACCACAGTACCCCTGCAGCCCATAGTACACTAAATGTTAACAGTTTTAGTGATCTCAATACTCAAAACAAGGGATAGGTGGCTAATTATAGAAGCTTTAAGGGGTTCCTAAAGCCTGAGGCACAAGGTGAGGTGTGTGGCTGAATGAAGTAAGGCTCCACTTTTGAAAAAGAATACAATTAGAACTTATATGCAATAATATGCAAATCTACATCTGTCCCTCCCCAGACCCTGCATTGGCAGGAGCCTTGTGCACTGGGTTGCCCTTTTTTTAGTCATATTAGAGTATCATGTTATTAACACAGTTTTTAGCTTTGCATGTTCAAGTTCTACATAAGACTGCTTAAGCATCACGCATACAACCTACAATAAGTAAATTTTGTATGCAATATCGAATTCAAGGTTAATTTATCAATACATACCATCAAACCAGGTTAAGTACATGCCAGAAAATGAGCCTTGTCTGTGAACCTAAGCATGCCCTAGGAAATAGGCATAACTTTTTAAAACATTGGATGGCCTTGTTTATGTATAGAAGGCATCAAAATCTAGTAGATTGACCTACATGCTCCATTGCTTTGGTTGCAACGGTCATGTCATCCATGTACCTTGTTGTCTTCTTCAAATACCTGGATATTTGTACATGCCCATTGTACTGGTGCTGGACATCATATGTGCCGAATATGACATTGGATACTGCATGGACACTTCTAGGGATACATACTATATGGTATTAATATTTTTAATGTATGTAAAATGACATGTTTTAACAAATCATCTATTAAGGATCAAAGTTTCAATTTGATACACCCTGTATCATATCGAATCGGGCGCATCATATCATATCTTTTGGGTCCTGAAAACACCTGTTTACAGGTGTTTTGGGACCCCTCTTTTTTGTAATAAAAAGTATATGAAAAACTATCTAAATGATAATTTTTGAAAAAAAACTAAAAAAATATAAAAGCGAACTGTTATTAGTACTGATACACCTCTGCCAATACACAGAGGTGTATCGATACTTTGAACCTTGCATACTATAAAGCTATCTGTTGTGTAAGAAATTTAATTAAACATGACAAGATACAACTCATTTCAAATGATAGATCTTAAAAAGCTAGATATAAAAGCAGGATACAAGCTTATTACAAGGAACATATTTACCTGTATTTGTTTTGGGATTTTAGGACATGGGAGTTATTTACCCATTTCCTGTGTTTCTATAAATGGATATAGCACTAGCAGAACAGAATGACAAAACAAGATTCATATAGCTGACCCCATGGGGACAAGGCTTAGATGATGGCATCTTTGCTAATATTTAGGCATCATAGGTTGCAAAACTTAGTTTTGGTTAATGACTTGGTTCTGGGGACACAGGACCCATAGGATGGGTTTGGGGCCTCCACAACTTGCCACCTGTTGTATATTTCAAGGACTAACATCCACAACGGTACATCTTTTTAGTTTCAGCAGAGGCACTCTCCTCCATTTGGTTAAGTGCAGTAAAATCAGAGGGTAATTTCCTATGCATCATAATTTTGGTGGACCTATACAATGGTGGGTCCTTAACCAAGATTAGCCAGTTTATGTATTTCATTTCCTTTTTTGATTAATTATATTTTTCTTCATGTGTTATGGCTGTAAGTTTTTACCATCTCCCACAAATATGATACATGAGAATTGTGACATTAAGTGGTAGTGTTGTGTTTGAGTTGCATTTGGACTCCTGGTACAATGTCGAAGGTTGTAAGTGTCTACCATGAAGTTAAATTGCACATTAGTTCCTGGCAAATCTGTTCATCTTTGTTGGCAGAACTATTACAGTTTGCAGCATATTTGTCAAACCTAAATGATACAATGCTTTTTGGATTGCCTTGTCCCTATTTACATGGGAGGTTTGCCAATTTTAGGTTAATGAAATTTTGATGTAAAAATAAGGGTAAAAGGTTGTAAGAGGTCATCATGAAGATCATTTTTCTATTTGAAGATTCATAAAGAAAGTAGTGCATTTACTACATTTGAGTTTTAACTAGTTCTACTTTTCTCTCAATCTCTGTGAGCAAAAAAAAGCACAATCATCTCTTTCTCTTTCTATGAAATTTCATTTGTTCTTTTCTTTCTTTCTTTCTTTTTTTTTTCCTTAAGTTCCTCTATTCACACCTCTCTGTCTTCTAATTGTATCCACAATAAGGGGCCCAACCTTAATTTCTTTGTTTTGCAATTTTGTATATCAAAAGTTGTTTACCTGGAAAGGAATACTGACCTCTTCCTCTGCAGCAAATTCTTCAAGCTGTAAACACTATACATGAAGAACGTATTGTGCACTCGGACTTGAAGCCAGCTAACTTCCTTCTTGTCAAAGGTTCACTAAAGCTGATTGATTTTGGCATTGCCAAAGCCATAATGAGTGATACAACTAACATCCAACGAGACTCTCAGGTTCCAGATACTTTATCTTGTTATTACACAACTGAAATTACAATTATAGCCTGTAGTTGTTTTCATGTAAAGCGGGCTGAAAACACAGCTTGATCATAAAAAGGACAAAAATATAACTGAAAACTAAAGATAGAAAAAAAATTTCTGCTTACTTTGAAACAAATGAAGCCATGGTTGGAAACATGAGTACCTCTCTCTCTCTCACATGGTCATTGTGTGAACTACTGCAGGTGGGTACACTAAGTTATATGTCTCCAGAAGCATTCATGTGTAATGAGCATGATGCAAATGGAAATACTATCAAGTGTGGTCGACCATCAGATATCTGGTCCCTTGGGTGCATTCTTTACCAAATGGTATATGGTAGGACCCCTTTTGCGGAATACAAGACATTCTGGGCTAAGTTCAAGGTAATAACAGATCGTAATCATGAGATCACATATGGACCAGTTTCAAATCCTTGGCTACTTGATCTTATGAAGAAGTGCCTTGCATGGGACCGCAATGAAAGGTGGAGGATACCGCAGTTACTTCAACATCCTTTCCTTGTTCCTCCAATACCTTCCCAGTTGTCTACCCCCAAGGAAGTAAAATGTAAACTGCTTCAGGAAATAACTGAAGCTTATGGGGATGATCAAAAAACATCCACACTATGTTCTCAGCTCCAAGAAATCCTAACAGATCCAATTCCTCTGATAACAACTCAGTTGTCCACATCACAAGATCAACATCGTGTGTTGGTTATGCAAATGTCAAATCTTTGCTTTCAACTCCAGCAACAACTTGCATACCTTTCGGGGGCAAAAGATCCAAGGATGTAGCTTGTCATCTACTAATGTTTAAGATTGGAGTGTGTATTTTACATCTGAAGTGGATTGTTTGGAAATGCTTATTCCCTTCAATCTCTTTTTTTTTTTTTTTTTCCATTTGTTCCTTTTATTTTAGTTGTGTATTTTGACCTTTTTTATTTTTTGTAAAAAGAGGGGAAAATGAACCCACCAAGCAAATTTGTCTCCTAGGGTGTTGTTTTATATCCTTCGGATTGTATGCTTATTGTGGAATGAAGACAGAAGGTTTACTAAAAGATGAAGACTAGTCCAGTCTATAATATGAACTAACCTCCCACGAAAGTTATGTAGTATCCATTTTGGAAGAATTTCACCGATTCGAGAAAAGCCTATTTTTATGGTTTTTCTAGAAGCAGTTTTTCTCTTTGTTGATGTTCTTTACAACTTGGTATCGTGGTTTGTTTCCTAAAGGTTTGTAACCATTTAATCAAGAGCCAGGTTTTGTTGCTTCCCGATCTGGATTTCCTGCCCACAAGAACTCTGTGTACACCTACCCACAATATATTATCCCCTGTGAATTGGAAACATCCCCCCCTGCATACTATGCAGAGGATGAGAAATTTTCCATTTATGGCTGTGATAAATGTGGGCAGAATTCTCGTGGGCAGGAGATCCGGATTCCCATTTAGTAACATGAGCTTAAACAGTTAAATTGATTCTGGAAGCTATTGAGACTTGAGAGTTCAACAAAGTCCAAGGAACAATCCACAATATGCAGGACGGTGTCAACCACCGAAAATTTAGGGGAGACTTGGACCTGGTCAATGCTGGAATCCTCAGGGACCAAATGATCGAATACCAATAGAATCTGATAATATAGGAGAAGGAAGAAAAAGTGAACAAAAGTTATCCCCAGGGTTCAAAGTATAGAATTAATGAGAGGGTTAATACTTGGAACCATGGTTATCTCTCACTTTCTACAATCTGCCAGGTTGAATCGCCGGTGTTTCATTTCCATATCAAGCAGCCATAAATTTTATTTTCAATTGTTGAGTTGCCAGAGTTTGTTTCCAAATAGAATTTCTGTGGGTGTGGGTAGTGTTCTTGTTTGTAGGTGATATAATCTGTGGGGTGGGCATAAATAATAGTAATGAATTATTTAACCCTGGTGTTTTTCAATCGAGACTCCAAAGTTCAAAATTTCATCATGTATCAGCCCGTATTAGCCGATATATATTGTACTAATGAATCACCAATACATGAAATATTAAGAGTTTCGGGGTAAGACCTGTTTCAAGGGATAGTGATACAAAGTATATAAAAGAGTAGTGATACAAAGTATGATACACCCAATTTAAAAGTATTTAACTGTATCGATACTTTGAACCTATCTCAGAGCTCCTTTGGGGTGAAAGGATTAGCCAAAGGGAATGGCTGTGTAAGGCTCTCAGCTGAATTTGATAGTTCTTTTCTTTTTCTGGAACCAATTATTTTATTCCACACCAGCCATAAATTGCATGGGTCCACAATTAGGGGTGTAAACGGATTGAATTCGAATAAGATCAGGCAATATCTCAATTTGAATCCGATAAAATTCGGTATCCGATTTTGACTCGATATTTGATGGATATCGAAAATTAATATTCGAATTCGAATCTAATTAAATATTCGAATATTCGATTCGAATTCAACTAATTAATTATTTTAGGTAATTAATAAATATATAAAATAAATGTTTAATTTATATAATGTATATAAATTATTTATATAATTTAATTATTATATATAAATTATATAAAACATTTAAAAATTTTATATATTATATATAAGAATTAAATAATCGGTCAAATTCCGATATTTATCGAATCGATATTCAAATTATCCAAATTCGATTTGATTATATCGAATCTCGAATTTGAAATTGGATTTTCAAAAATTGTTTACACCCCTATCCACAATCACTCAGTCTCTCATGGCTAAGAATGGTACAATAAGATTGATCCCACAGCCGCTAATACATCTATCAAATTCAGCTAATTCACTTTCTGTCCGATGCCAGCATGTAACACAGCCATTATGTTAAGCCGATCCATCCATTAAAGCTAATTTTGGTGGCCCGGGTTAAATGGAATGGCTGGGTTTCGGGCTGTGCAATCAAGAATAACACCCCACATGACAGAAGCGAGAGAGTGAGTATTTTTGGGCCATATGTACTTTATGAATGGCATGGGGCATTATTATTGGTTCCACAGTCTAATTTGGTTGAACTGCTTTGGATAAGTCAATAAAAGAAGATTTAATGAAAAACCTATTTTTTAATTGAAACAGAAAATATAGGCTTCTCGAGTTTTTTACTACGGCTGTGATTGGTTGTAATGCAAATTTATTAGCACATATGCAAAACTATGGCAGTGCAAATGATTTTGGTGCAGATTATGATTTATTTTTATTTCAATTTTTATCTTATATTATTTGATTGGAGTACAAATGAAATAAAGTAAGACTTCAAGCAAAATAAAATAAAACCCAATTCAAAATTAAACCAGGATTTTCATTCTTTTCATTTGCACTCCCATGCATTTGTACTAATACAAATAAAATTGCACTGCAATCAAACACAGCCTAAGGCTCAGCTAGGAAGGAGTATAAATACAAATAGTCAAATACATAGTTTTCACTCTATATATTTATATTTGTAATCCATCCAAACTGAGCCTTTGTTAGGGTGAGACTCCAGCTTGTAAACCAAAAGCCACCATGAAAAAGTCCTCTCCAAGGGACATTCAATTTGTGTCCAGTGAGGATGGGCTCTCAACACCTTGGATTTAAGTCATGTTGGGGTATCGAGATAAAGCCCATTTATTAATTCGGGAGGTTAGCTGCGTTTGGCTTTGGCATGTTTTTAGAGAAATAATTCTGATGAATTTTGTGATGTTAGAACTCAATCTTGAACTATGGGTGTATAAAAATAAGTGGAACTTTTTCTTTTGAGCTCATTCTTGAAGTAATAATTCTTCAAAAAGCAGAATTTTAATCAAACATGGCATAAGAAACTTAAAATTGAGAGCTCCACTCTTTCACCAAACATCCAATATGAGCATAGCACAAACATCTATTTTGGAGTAAATAAAAAACAGTACATATGGAAGAAACAAAGGTGATAAGGATCTTAATGATCAGTAAGTGCCTTACTAGAATACTAATACAAAAAGCATTTATAACTTGTTTCTAAGCAAGAACATCAATTCCTTCAAGCATCTTTAGTCCAAATTCCATGTAATCAGTAGGTTCAGGGACTCTTTCATCTATTTTTTCGTACTCCATTGAATATCTCACCAAGTTTTTGTGATCTTCTGTGATGACCTGTATGTGGAACTTGCAGTCTTTGTAATGCTTCAAGAAATCTCCATCATAGCATCTAAATGTGATCAAATTTTTCTCTTCGTCTAGGACTTCAATTTTTGCATCCAGGCTCAAAACAGTGTTTCCATCTACGATCAACGAAGACACCAAAATTAGCCCAAAAATCTGTAATAAGATCTAAAAGTTCTGATTCAGTCTCAATTTGCATCAATTCTATTTGTTAAAATAGTATATATATAACTAGCTATATCCTAGTCTCAAAGAAGACAAACCCAATAAGTCTTCTTCTCACCAAAAAAATTAAAAAGAAAATAAAAAACAAAGCATTCCCTTAATGACACATGAATAAACCCAGTGGTGGAAATAAAAAAGCAATTAATTCAGGTGATGTTTTGAATATATTTCCATCACTGACATGTTTGTGCTAGCAGAGTACTGAGTATATTTATATTACCTAAAGCATAATTATAGCGTGTAGCTGAGCCTAAGCCCTTTCCATCTCCTTTAAGTACTTCAGTGCGGTGAGATTCATGAGGCATGGCCTTGTGGTAGAGGTTTGAGATTTCTTTTAACACAGTGAAAGAACTTCTTTGGGGAGGACTTGATTTCCTTTCCGAACTCCAGCTTACCAGTAAGAGCCATGGCGATGCGAATCAGAACTCTAATAATAGAGGAGATTGAAAAGAGGAAATGAATAACTTTGCATTCATTTCTAATTAATCAATAAACTTTTATATAGAAGAATGGGATTTATGGTCTGAGATGGCTATTCAATTATTATTATTGTTGGGGAGAACTTCACCAAAGATTTTTTTTTGGGTTTTATACTTTTATTTTCATTTTACGTATCCTTTATAAAGCCAAGTTAAATTTTTATTTTTCTTCTTATATTTCATCTTTATTGTATTTAATTATTTATTTATCCATTTGGTTTTTTTGGAGAATATGAGAGTATGATTCTAAAATACTAAGTTTTATTCATAACAACAAAGGGAAAAAACATAGAAATATTTTTATTTTTGTTTTTGACTGATAAAATAATAAGTAACATAAAATGGGTCTAGGGTAGATGTAGGACTTAATGGGTATAACTTTTGAACTAAGGAAAATAAGCGCAGATTTCAGGGCCCTTAATTATGGCAATTAACATTGTAATCATATTTTTAAATCATTTACTAAAACACCCCTATACTTTCATGTATTTATTAAAATCTACCTTATGATTTTTCATTTAGTATTATCATTTATTAAAATCTACCCTATTCTCCACTGTACAGTTGGCAAGCTTTTAAGATGAACTAATGTTTTCTTTTAAAATGAAATAAAGTTTGATATTTATATCTACTGCAGATGCTTGGTTTCAGTAGAATGAAGAGGAGAGATCAGTGTATCCAGGTTATTAGTTTGGACAACATGTCTTCCTTCTTCAAAATTCAAATAGAGAATAAAATTGATGAGAAGAGTTGTTGTCCATGTTTTACTAGGGCCAAGAATGACATTTCTATTTATATTTTCTGCAGATTAAAATGGTCCCAATAAACACTAAGGTCAAAATTATCAATTTTCACTTTAGTCTAATGAAAGGCCAATTAAGTAAATCACTTGTAAATTATAGGGGAGGTTTTAATAAATACATTAAACTACTGGGAGTGTTTTAATAAATAACCTTCTTTTAATTTTTTGGGATAAATAGACTATACTCCACCTCAGAATTCTAAATTTAATTGTAAATCTATAGTAATTCAAAATTATATAACATCCATATCCGCCCATAAATTAGCATCAATTCCAAAATGGCACCTATCCCAACTGTACAGTGGAGTTAAGATTTTTGGGAAAGAATGAACATTAAAAACTCTTTTTTTTTTTTTTTTAATCTTGGTGGGTTATAATCAATTAATATTTGGCAGTTCCAAATGCACTTCTGGAGGAATCCTCTGGTTTTGTTTCAGATGTGAACAGATTCTCATTATGCCTACGTGTCTTTACACACACCCAAAAAAAAAGGCAGATTTGTGCGCTTTGATTCAGGGCACCCCGAGAACATGGATAAACAGTTTAAATGGATTGGATTGGATTTAATATATAAGTGGTTAGGTACATGGACACGTCTATTAGGTTGAAACGGTCTGGCATTATGTAGACAAGAGAGATTGTTTAAATTTAATACCTCAAGTTCATGGGCAGCCTTGATGCAAGTACGAAGGCTCCTTTTGGTGTATTTTTTTGTGCGGTTTGTTGGTTATTTATAAATTTGGTAGACTATGATTCGGTCTATTCCTATTTGTTTTGTGGTAGATCTAGCTGTCAATAACCAATATGTTGAAAAAAACACGAGAAGCTTTAGATAAACAATTTTTGAGAAATTTCAAATGGAATTTTTACAGTTTTTTGCTATTTGTCTTCGTGCAGAAAGACGCACGAAAAGACACGCCTTAATCAAATGGGCTTCAGGCTACTCAGATCTTAATGCAAAAATTTAATGCATCTTTTGACTGTCAAAACTACCAGAAGATCTTCCCAAAAAATCTTACCAAACAGCCCCTAAATTTTCTCAGGCCTCCACTATTGAAAGAATTGTTGCAATGAATTGTCTAGGGGCTTTCTAAAACAAGCATCAAATTTCATCATCTAAGCCTTGTCCCCATTATGTTCTGTTCCGTGTTATATCTTGGGCAGTCAAATCATTTCTTATTATTTCCAATCAAGTCCATTTTGGTTTTGCTCTTGGTTCTTTAGCTCTTTAACCAACTTGTAACAAATCATTTTTTTCAAGAGGTGCTTATTAAAAAGGGTCTTTTACTAAAATACTTTTAAAGCCTCGTGTATTTATTAAAACCTATCTTATAATTTGCATTTTATTAAAATAATCCCTATAGTTTTGCAACCAATTTGCTTAATGGGTAAAATATAAAAAACCTCCCCTATAAATTTTCTCACAATCGTATAAACCTCCTTTATGATGATTTTGAAAAATGTACAATTACCTCCCTTATTTGAAATATCAATTTTATCCTTGAATTTATCTACTTGGTCAATCCTGTCACTTCTTGTCACTTTCCTCTTCCTCCTCCCAAGGGCTGAAAATGGTGCTGCTGATGTGTGGGTTGGAAGCACCATTTTCTCAGTGCCTTTTTTTTTTGTTTAAAAACATTGCTGCTAGGTAGGACGTTTGCTGGAGCAGTAGTAATGTTTTCTATTTGGTATTGATGGAGGGTGATTTGGCCTGACCTCATAATAAGGGGATACGTGGACGTGACTTGACATAAGTGACAACTCAACGTAACGAGCTCGGTACAACTCAGCGTAACGAGCTCGCCATAACCCAGCCTGACAGCTCACCACGAATGGCAGCTCGCTACAAGATAATACTCTGTTACCCCGAGCTAAGACTCCCAAGTAGGGAGCATCCCGAACTGAGACTCCCGAGTCGGAGCATCCCGAACTGAAGACACTTCGGGTTACGCTCATCAGCTCCCTAGCTAGAATAAGCTCGCTCCTGTCCAAACCTAAGTAGGCCACCTTGGAGACACCCCTTGGGTAGAAACACCTCGGCACATCACCAGCAGCTCGGTACAAAGTAGCTCGCTGCAGAGCAGCTCGGCGTATCGCAGGGAGTTTCCCGCCTAATAACTGTACCTACCAAACCTGGAGACTGCGCCCACGTCTATCATCTAGCGGCGCTGGAGACTGCACCCACGTCTATCATCTGGCGGCGCTGTACCTGCCAGCGCCGAGTACTGCACTCATGCCTCTCGCCTGGTGGCGTCGTGCCTGCCAACCATGGAGATTGTTTCTTGTCTGGTAGGACCGTGCTCTGCAACGACAACCTTTGCTCGCCAGCTCAGCTCTGACAAATAACGGCTAGCCACTCCAAGCCGTTATCTGACAGCAGATCGCCACAACAGAGATTCGGGAGCGGTTGTACCTGACATGTCAGGATAGTAGTATATAAGGACCCTGACCCCCAGGGGCGAAGGTATTGCGTGATCTTCACTCTAGCTCAATAATTTCTCTGCAACTCTCTCTCTCTCTCTCTCTCTCTCTCCTGGCTTTCAATCTGGTTACTAACTTAATCATCGAAGTGTTCCCGTCGGGTGAGCCCCCCGGGTTCCTTCATCTTATTCCTCACAGGTATCTCTCGTCCGCCGCCAGTTAGAAGTGCAGCCACTTCCAGCTAGGAGTGACCTGATCGCGCACCATCAGGTACCAATGCTCCAGGAAACGTTTTCAGCACTGGTACCTATTATCCAATGCCACGTCATGTCCTTGTCACTGCCACGCCATGTCCCTGTTGGTAGCTACAAGTTGCAGTTCCAAAAAACGCCAAATTCGACATTACTCCAAATCACGCATTCCCGAATTCTTAAACGTGGCTTAGAGCACCGTTTTTTATAGAAAAACAGTTTCAAACAAACAAACATTTCCTGGAACACCGTTTTTTTCCAACGAAACACTTATGTATCGCTGTTTTCTGAAACAATGGCATAAATGCCAAACAGACGCTAAGTGAAGCCAGGTTTGTAGATGGAAGGGGGGACAACCTAGAGAGAAAAGGTTAGAACTTATAGAGCCCATTGGCTTCAGAAATGGTTTGTCAGTTCAACTAGAAATGTTTTGTCAAGCATTTACCAGAACCCATTCCAGAGGTTCTGGTTCGGAGATTATCCTCACAAATGCACCGTACCTATTATGCTTCTCCAAGTCAATTTGAAAAGCCCTTTGGGATTCTACCTTCATGTCCATCTTCGGTAGAAAAATTAGTAATTCGTTACAGGCAAGTGCATCAAGGGTGACACCACCGTTGCCATTCAATTGAGTAGAGAAATAAGAATAGAATTATAAATGTGGGGACTCAAGCCAATTCCTGGTTATTCCATGAGATCTAATTAATATTTCATTAGCTAAATCAAACCTAACCTACACGATCAGATAAATGCGAGAAAAGGGTGTTTGTAGTCGATCCAACAATAACACCATCCTTCATGGAGTTAGAGGTGTCAATGGATCGGTTTTGGGTTGGACTCTGTCCAAATCAAAATCCATTTAGACAGATTGAACGGACCAATACGACATATTGAATTTAGATGGACTGAAACGAATCAATATGACATATTGGTTTGGACCTGGTCCGTCCATAATGAATTTATATTGGATTGAGCTAATATCTGGTCCATTGATGGAAGATAAGAACATAGGTGTCAATAGACCATGTTTGAATTAAAACCAATCTAAATTAACAGGAATTTGAACAGATTGGACAGTCTTTGGACCGGTCCAAAATATTCATTGGACTGGATTGGACCAGGTCCATTTGTAATGGATTCACATTGGATTAGACCGGATTGGACCAAATCCAGTCCAATTGACACCCCTACATAGAGCTGCTGCCATCTCCCGCAGAACATTAAGGTTGTGTTTAGTTGCTGTACAATTTTATTTGCACTAGTACAAATGCATGGGAGTGTAAATGAAATGCAAATTCTAATTTAATTTTACTTTGTTTTGCTTCATGTCTTAATTTACTTCACTTATACCACAATTAAACAAAATAAGCTAAAATTTGAAACACAGATAGGTCAGAATTTACAGTCAAATTATTTGCACTGTCATATTTTTGCATCAGTACAAATTTATTTGTA